ATTTGATTGATTCATCATTTAGTCTTTCTATGTAAGATGAGAAGTTTACACACCACAATTACAGTGTTATACTATCCTGTGTTTTTTTGTGTGCTTGCTGTTACCAGGAAGTTTTGTACCTTTATATGATTTCTTCTTGCTCATTAACATCCTTTTCTTTCAGACTGAAGAACTCTTTTTAGTATTTCTTGTAGGACATATCTAGTGTTGATGAAATCCCTCAGCTATTGTTTGGGAAAGTATTTCTCCTTCACGCTTCAAAGATATTTTCACTGGATATACTATTTTAGAGTAAAAGCATTTTTTCCTTCAGCACTGTAAACATGTCATGCCACTCTCTCTTGATCTGTAAGGTTTCCACTGAAAAGTCTGCTGCCAGACGTATTGGAGTGCCATTGTATATTATTTGTTTCTTTTTTCTTGCTGCTTTTAGAATTCTTTCTTTATCCTTGACCTTTGGGAGTTTGATTATTAAATGGCTTGAGGTAGTCTTCTCTGGATTAAATATACTTGGGGTTCTATAATCTTCTTGTACTCAAATGTTGATATCTTTTTCTAGGTTTGGGAAGTTCTCTGTTATAATCCCTTTGAATAAACTTTTTACCGCTATATGTTTCTGTACTTCCTCTTTTAGGCCAATGACTCTTAGATTTACCCTTTTGAGAATGGTTTCTAGATCTTGTGGGCATGCTTCATTGTTTTTTATTCTTTTTTCTTTTGTCTCATCTGACTATGTATTTTCAGATAGCCTGTCTTTCAGCTCACAAATTCTTCTGCCTGATCAGTTCTGCTATTGAGACTCTGATACATTCGTCAGCATGTCAGTTGCATTTTTCATTTCTAGAATTTGTTTCTTTTTAATTATTTCAATCCCTTTGTTAAATTCATCTGAAAGAATTATGAATTCCTTTTGTATTGTCTTGAATTTCTTTGAGTTTCTTCAAAACAGCTATTTTGAATTATCTGTCAGAAAGGTCATATATCTCTGTTTCTCCAGGATTGGTCTCTGGTGCTTTATTTAGTTTATCTGAGGAGGTTATACATTCCTGGATGGTGTTGATGCTAGTAGATGTTCTTTGGTGTCTGGGCATTGAAGAGTTGGGTACTCGTTGTAGTCTTCACAGTCTGAGCTTGTTTATGCCTGTCCTTCTTGGGAATGCTTTCCAGGTAGTCAAAGGAACTTGGGTCACAAGCCCAATAACACTGTGTTTTTTGTAGACATGTAGAGGTACCACCTTAGTGGTCTTGGATAAGATCCAGAAGAATTCTCTGGATCACCATGCAGAGACTCTTGTTCTTTTCCCTTACTTCCTCCCAAATAAATGGAGTCTCTTTCTCTCTGTGCTAAACCCCCTGGAACTGGGGTTATGGTGATGCAAGCACTCCTGTGGCCACCACCACTGGGAGTGCACTGGGTCAGACCTGAAGCCAGCCCAGCACTGGCTTTTGCCCAGGGCCCTTCCCTTCAGGGCAGTAAGCTTCCTCAGGCCCCAGGCATGTCCAGAGATGCTGTCGGGAAGCCAGAGATTAGGGTCAAATATCTTAGTAGTTTACCTGATGTTCTGTTCTACTATGGATAACTACCACTCACACCACAATACAAAGTTCTTCTCACTCTTCCCTCCCCTTTCCACAGGCAGAGGGGCCACTCCCTGTGGCTGCCACCACCTTTGGTCCACAGGGTTTCTGCCAGGCCACCACCAATATTCACTTAAAGCCCAAGGGCTCTTCCATCAGCTTGTGGTGAAAGCTGCCTGGCCTGGGACTTACCCTTCAGGGCAGTGGGCTCCCTCTGGCCCAGGGTAGTTCTAGAAATGCTGTTCAAGAGTGTAGGCCTGGGCTGGACGCGGTGGCTCACGCCTGTAATCCCAACACTTTGGAAGGCCAAGATGGGCGGATCACCTAAGGTCAGGAGTTCGAGACCAGTCTGGCCAACATGGTGAAATCCCATCTCTACTAAAAATACAAAAATTAGCTGGGTGTGGTGGAGTGTGCTTGTAATCCCAGCTACTTGGAAGGCTGAAGCAGGAGAATCACTTGAACCCAGGAGGTAGACGTTGCGGTGAACTGAGGTCACACCACTTCACTCCAGCCTGGGCGACCGAGTGAGACTCCATCTCAAACAACAACAACAACAAAAAAAACAAAAAACAAAAAAAAAGAGTGTAAGCCTTGACTTGGGGACCCCAAGAACCTGCTTGTTGCTCTACCTCACTGTGGCTGAGCTGGTACCTAAGGTGTAAGACAAAGTCCCCTTTACTTTTCTCTCTGCTTTTCTCAAATAGAAGGAGTCTTTCACTGTAGCCACCACAGCTGGGAATGTGCTGGGTCACACCTGAAACCAGCACATCTCAGAGTCTCATCCAAGGCCCATGACACACTCCTTGGTTATCACTGCTGGTTATTCAGGGCCCAAGGGCTCTTTAGTCAGCAGGTGATGTATCCTGCGAGGACTGGGTTTTTCCCTCCAAAGCAGTAGGTTCCCTTTTGGCCCAGGGTAGGTATAGAAATGCTGTTCAGGAGCAGCTGGGCGCAGTGGCTCACGCCTGTAATCCCAGCACTTTGGGAGGCCAAGGCGGGTGGATCACGAGGTCAGGAGATCAAGGCCATCCTGGCTAACATGGTGAAACCCTGTCTCTACTAAAAATACAAAAAAAAAATTAGCTGGGCGTGATGGCAGGCGCCTGTAGTCCCAGCTACTCAGGAGGCTAAGGCAGGAGAATGGCGTGAACCCAGGAGGTGAACCCACTGCACTCCAGCCTGGGTGACAGAGCGAGATGCTGTCTCGAAAAAAGAAAAGAAATGTTGTTCAGGACCTAGGGCCTATAATGCGGGCCTCACAACTCTGCCCAGTGCCGTATCCTACTGTGGCTGAGCTGGAATCCAAGATGTAAGACAGTCCTTTTTACTCTTTGCTCTTTGCTCCTTAAGCAGAAGAAAGGAGTCACTTCTATTGCAGCTGCCTTGGTTTGGGGCATGGGTGATGCAAGCACTCCTTTAGCTATGCCAGCTGGTATCTCCCTAGATCACATGCTACCCTAGTCCAATTACTATAAGCCCAGCCTAGTGCTAGTAGCCTAGGAATTGGAGTCCTTGTGCCCCAGACTGTCTTTCAAGTTTAGGACCCCAGAGTATTTCAGCCCATGGTGGTGAGGCTTGCAGGGAAACTCAAGTTCTGGCCACTGGGATGAATGCTTTCTGTCTAGCTAGGGCGGGTCCAAATGCTCCCTCCATGTGCTGGCGCTGGCTGAGCCCAGCACGGCTTTATTCTCCACTGTGACAGGGCAGCACTAAATTCAATGTAAAGGCTCCCAGCCACTGTGCCCTCCCTTTCCCAAGTGCATAGGTTCTCTCTCCACACCGCATGGCCACTGCTGGGGGGTGAGGAAGGGGTGGCATTGGTGATGCAAGACCATCTTTTCTGCCCTCCTCAATGCCTCTTTCAATGATATGAAGTCAAAACTAGCCACTGTGATTGCTTACCTGGTTTTTGGTTCTTGTGATGGTGCTTTGCTGTGTGCAGATAGTTAAAAATTTGATGTTCTAACAGGGGAACCAATGTTTGTAGGCTTCTGTTCCACCATCTTGCTCCGCCTGCTCCCATATCTGATTCTTACTCGGAAATTCTTACAGCTGAAAAATCTCCTGTCCAGATTCCCTGCAGGATTCTATAGGGAAGATCACTTATCTTTATCATACAACCTTTCACTCTTATTGTTATAATTCTTATTTACCTCTCTAAGAATGAGTAGTATAGCTCTGTGATTTCAGGCAAGTTACTTAATCTCTCTTTGTTTCTTTGCTGTTAAATATAAACTGTGTCAGTTGTTTTGAGGATTAATGAGGTAATTCCTAGCACAGAGTAAGCACTTACTAAATAATAGCTATTACTATTATCTCTCTTCAGCCAGCTGAAGTCTTAGAGGGCAGTGCCCTCATAGTGTTCTTTGCATCTTCTGCAAGTACTTGCTGGTGTGTATAAGATAGAATTTTTCACACTGGGCTTCCTTGGACAAGTTTCATAAGAGGTGCTTTTTTGTAGTTCAAAAACATTGGATTCAAATTTCATTTGTAAATTTTAACTGTTTTAAAAAACAACAAAAATCTGTGAGCTCAAATGTTATAAAATAGAATTTTAAGTAATAAAGACTATCAGTGTCTTTACAGTTGTTCACACCTATAATCCTGGCATTTTGGGAGGCTACGGTGGGAGGATCACTTGAGGCCAGGAGTTTGAGACCAGCCTGGGTGACATAGTGAGACCTCGTCTCTACAAAAAAAAAAAAATTTAATTAGCCAGGCGAGGTTGTGTACACAACCTGAGCAACAGATCAACACTCTATCTCAATTAAAAAAAAAAAATTCTCATTTTATTAATATGCTGCTAAATTATTTCATTTTTATGCTTTTCCTATCATCTTTTTAAATTGAAGATGATCCTGATATTGAAGAGTAAACTGTTAAAAACAAACTGCAAAACAAGAACTTGTTGCCATTTGCAAATATTTCTGTCCATAAATTTTAATCGTGTGAATTTTAAAAATACAAAAATAAGTAGAATAGGATACAGGAATGCAACTGACACATAACCTTTGCTTTCATTGATTTGTATTACTCAGATGAGGCTCGTTGTAGCCATTGATTGATTTTTATAATAAATTCATTCTATAAATTTAAATAAAAATATACCTGTTCTAGTTAAGTGTGGAATTACCTACTACCTTTGGAAAGAGGAGACATTGATAAGTAACTTACTTGTTTTTATGTATTTCTTTGATGAGCATTTATTATACTATTGTTATATAATAGGTTTTAGGCTCTAAGTTAACAATATAGGTTTGACAGGCTACAACTGACAGCCTTTGGTTAAACATAAGCTCATTAGGTTTCCATGTAATTGTGCATTTAGAAGAATATTGCTTTAAGACTCTTTGGAAACACTGACGTGTAAAGTATCCTATGTCTTTGAGTCAGCTGACTCCCATCTTTCACTTTTGCAGGGGCCCAGCTGGAGTAAGAGCCCAAGCCCTGGATAGAGATGGAAATCTGGTAGAAGATTTTGTATTTGATGCAGGAGTTGGGAATATTGGAAATCGTGTTCTTCATGTGAGAAATGCACCTTCCCCTGCTGCTACTTCTTCCCTTGCAATTTCTGGAATGATTGCAGATGAAGTACAACAAAGATTTGAATTGTAAATAATGAAAGGAGCTAGGTATGCACTGTAATCTCCATGTCAGCAACAAGAATGTACTAATTGCATTCTTTAATTTAAAAAATGGTTTTTAAAATTTCATTTTTAGGTCAAAGATAACCACTGAATTGTTAAAATGATATAACATAGAAATAATAATTTTCTACAAAAATTAGCTGGGCATGGTGGCACATGCCTGTAATCCCAGCTACTCGAGAGGCTGAGGCAGGAGAATCACTTGAACCAAGGAGGCAGAGGTTGCAGTGAGCTGGCCCTCCAGCCTGGGTGACAGAGCAAGAGAAAACATAATAATAATTTTCAAAATGTTAGGCTTGGGACCGTGGCCAGCACTTTGAGAGGCCAAGGCAGGTAGATTGTAGCCTAGGAGTTTGAGACCAGCCTGGGCAACATGGCAAAACGCTGTTTCTACAAAATAGCTGGGTGTGGTGCCTCTGTAGTTCCAGCTACATAGTAGGCTGAGGTGAGAGGATCACTTGAACCCAGGAGGTCCAGGCTTCAGTGAGCTATGTTCATGACACTGCATTCCAGGCTGGATGATAGAGCAAGATCTTGTCTCAAAAAAAAAAAAAAAAAAAATCCAGCCTCAGCAACATGGTGAATGAAACCCCATCTCTACAAAAAATACAAAAATTAGCTGGGCATGATGGTGTGTGCCTGTAGTCCCAGCTACTTGAGGGGCTGAGGCAGGAGGATCACTTGAGCCTGGGAGGTCAAGGCTACCGTGAGGTGTGTTCGTGCCACTATACCTCAGCCTGGGCAACAAAGTCAGTCCCTGACTCAAAAAATAAAAACAACAACAAAATATAAATTCCATGCTTATTTACTTTGTGAATAAAGAGGGAAGATACAGTTTTATCTGTCCTGAATCCCTGACTTTTTTTTTTTTTTTTTAGATGGAGTTTCACTCTTGTTGCCCAGGCTTGAGTGCAATGGTGAAATCTTGGCTCACTGCAACCACTGCCTCCCAGGTTCAAGCGATTCTCCTACCTCAGCCTCCTGAGTAGCTGGGATTACAGGTGCCCACCACCATGCCTGGCTAATTTTTTTGTATTTTTAGTAAAGATGGGGTTTTGCCATGTTGGCCAGGGTGGACTTGAATTCCTGACCTTAGGTGATCCACCCGCCTCAGCCTCAAAGTGCTGGGATTACAGGTGTGAGCCACTGCACCCAGCCCTGAATCCCTGACTTTGTTAATGACCTGTCCTTACCAACTATGACCTAGAGAAGATTTAGCTTTTCAAGAATTTTGGAGAACGATGGCATAAAAATGGGTTATTTCCTTAAATCAGTTTTTTAGCATTATACTACCTAAGCTCGTTTGGTCTCTCACAGACAAGGAAATACATCATATTGTAGGTTGCATTCTTTTAATTTCGAAGAGTCACAAAACTCACATTATTTAGAGCAACAATATTTGTATTTAGAAATTAAAAATTCATGATTTCAAGAAAATACATAAAATTTACATTTTTGAGTAGTTTGAATAAGTTTCTATCTTAGTTATAATATTTGTCAGAAATAACAAAACAAACTCAAAACCTTTATTATTTTCAGTCTCTTTATAACTGATGTGGTATGGTATCATTATGAAATGTAAACAGTGGTACACTGAGTAGTTGTCTTGCTCTTCAGTCTCTGTGGCTGAGAACTGAAATAACTTAGAAGAGATAGATTTTTATGAGAGCAGTTTTAGAATCCTGACACTGATGTATAGAACTCTAATTTTAAGTTTATTTATATATTATATCTCTGATCTTTAGTCACACTAAGACTCTCAAAATGTTGGCCAAGATTGCTAATGATTCATACCTACTTGATTTTTCAGGGCTCCTATAAAGTTGTGTAGGGATATTTTTCCATTTTTGATAAATATCTAACTTTGAGGCATTCACTTTTGTAAACCGCGAAAGTGCCTTACATTCATGTGTACCTCATGAGTATTTTAAGTTGATGCCCAGTGCTGTACTATATCCTGTATATATGTGTTGTGTGGTATCTGTTGAAATGATTCTTGTAATTTAGAAAGTTAGAAAATAGAAATGTAAATGAAAATGTGACGACCTGACTGCAGAATTTTGAGTACTGAACCACATTTAAGTGAGGCGTTTTCATCCATTGTCTCTCATTTGCTCTCTCAAGAATCATCTTCTAGTCTGTATGTCTTCTTTCCTCTTAGCTCTCCAAAGCTGTATGATGGATGGGTGAGAAGGATGTGCATTTTGGTTGATAGGAAAAATGCTTCTGTTTTCTTCCTTTTCCCCTCACTTCAAGCATTGATGATTACATTGGTTGAGCTACCTCATCCATTAATGTGAAAGGCTACACATCATCAGCTCGTGTTTAAGAAGTAGCACATCCCAGGTAAACAGAGTAGGCCATTATTCAACACTTGGGATGAGCATATTAAAAGCATTCAGATATCAATGACAGAAGAAGCAAGCCCTAATGTTTCTTTATAACAGCTATTCCTGCAAGAAATGCAAACACACCATAGTTTTCTGTTCCATTACAAGATTACTAAGAGATGGAAAACATTATCATTTTCTATTTCATCAACAGTACGATTGCATACATACTAAGTTGTAAAGACTGGAATTACAAAAAATGATTGTCCTAATTGAAGCAATCCTCAATCCATTCGAGTCTGTACAATACCCCAAAAAATAAAAGTGAAAAATTTGTTGAAAGTGTTTTGAATATGTAGGTTATTCTGTTTGTAAAACATTTTATATGTATGTCAACAGGGTTTTGTTGTTTAATACTGATATAATAAAGTTTTATTATTTCTGACAGAAGAAATGTATATTAATATTTAAAATATTTTAATGATCCTTGGTGTTGTAGAGAACATATTTTTTAGTTCCATAAAGACTTTTATGCAAATAAATTTTTTATGTGTAAAACATAAACTGTTTGCTTTAGGATAGCAGCCAACTTTTTTAAAAAACTCATTTCTGTGTTAGTATATAACACAAAATGAGGTTGAGTAGTTTATATTTTGGGTAAAAAATGGAGCATTTTAGATTTTAACTTCAGAGTGTTTGTGAGAAACTCTTGATGTACCAGCAAGTATATTTTTGGTGTTTCATGTTACATAGCTTAACTCTTTTATCCATGCATATATGTGCATACAAAGTCCTTCCCTTGATCCTCTCAGCGTTGGCACTGTTTGGGGAGTTGCCTTTACTGTTGGCAGAATTCCACTTTCCCTGAGGCCATTTGGAAATCTACCTGGTAACCTGTGGGATAACCTTAACTCTTAGAACTTTCTTCATAGGATGGTGGTGAGAGTGGGGTATACTGCCAGGCCCTGTCCTTTGGGAGTTTGTAGGACCTGCTTTCGGAGGCAATCCAACCCTGATGGCTGTAACTATGAGCTATCCCTGTAAACTCAGGAGGCATGGTGTCTATATTTAAGGAGTGGCTCTGCCCTCCTGGGCACTTGATCTGTGTCTAGACTTCTTGGTCAGAGGTTTCCTCATCGTTCTGCACATACACTGTTATCTAAAGATCTTGTAAACATTTTTGAGTTGTAGTCGTAAAGTCAGTTACTAAGCTTTTCTAATACACTCAAAGGGAGTTTTTGAAATCTCTTCATCAGGGCTTAAGGTAGAAGGACAGGATGAAATGGTTGGGAAAGCAAAATCTGCCTCGAGATGTTTTCGAATAGTTTGTACTCATTAAAGAGTTTAAGAATAGAAATAAACCCTAAAGCCCTGAAGGGAAGAACTGTGTTGATACCAACCAACTCTACTTTTCTGGCCTCAAATCCTAGAAAATATTGTAGGTCTTTGTTGTTGTTGTTGTTAATTGCTTTTATTTTCTGCTTATGGGAACGGTCTCACATTAAAGTTATCTTAAGTTTCTTTTGTCCCTGGGATAAAATGAGAAAATTTACCTTTTAGATATGGCAAGAGATGGCAGGTCTTGGGTTGCTCAGGAAGCCCAACTTTGAATATTAGGAAAGACCTGAGGGACAGTGGTAACAGAGGGACTTCTCTCACTAGAGAACCTTGAATTTTAGCCAACTTCTGCTTAAAACTGTATCTTTAGAAAAACCTCTTTTAACTTGGTTGCTATGAAGCAGAATGAAATGGCTACAGCAGTGGTTTTTTTTTTTTTTTTTTTTAACACCTTTCAGATTTAATTTTCCTTAAATTTGTCCACTGGGAATATAAGAGATGTCTTTTAGGGGTATCAGTTTATTTTTTAATTTTTGTCTCCCCTTCCCTCTCCTTTCCCCCTCCTTTCCCCCTCCTTTCCCCCTCTTTTCCCCCTCCTTTCCCCCTCCTTTCCCTCTCCTTTCCCTCGACAGGGTCTTGCTTTGTTGCCCAGGCTGGAGTGCAATGGCACTATATCTTGGCTCACTACAACCTCCACCTCCTAGGTTCAAGCGATTCTCCTGCCCCAGCCTCCTGAGTAGCTAGGATTACAGGCACATGCCACCACACCCAGCTAATTTTTTATATTTTTGGTAGAGATGGGGTTTCACCATGTTGGCCAGGCTGGTCTCAAACTCCTGACCTCAAGTGATCCACCCGCCTTGGCCTCCCA